ATTTATTTTTGAAAAAGGAGAGCTCACAAATCGCCCCTAGGGAATGCACCACAAGTATATCAATTCTTGCAGCATAAAAGGTTACTCGGACGTTTAAGCTGCAATCAGCCGTGCCATAGGTCAGCAAGAAGCTTTTAACTCTTTAAACTCGTATGACACGTGCCAGGAGCAGCAGCAGGAGCAGGAGCAGCATGCGAGTATGCGGCGAGTCTTTTGACTATCACCAGATGCCTGCAGCTCGGAGACAAAACTATAGACAATCAGAATGGGTAAAGCTTGTGCTACTCGCACCAGTCCCTTAGCTACATGTCTTTGCACAGGGCTTTTTCTGTACGAGTATTAGTCGAGGGAAATATCGATCTGAAAGGGTGAAAGCTTCTCTCAAGCCAGGGGACATTCAAAATATATCAGTGCCAGTGCTGTATTTAATTCCATATTTATTTTCGAAAACAAAAATTATTCATAAATGAAATCAAAAAGAAAACAAAACAAAACAAGTAATCGCTAGAAACTAGATTCATAATCATATTTCTGTGCGTGGCTGCTGCTGTGCACAGAGATCGCGCTAAGATCGAGACAGACTACAATGTAGAATATAGAATATCCATGAAGACGGTTTAATGCAATTGCTAGTCGATCATTATCGCTCACAATCGACCAGTAAGGGTGTGTTTGTGTGTGTTCTTTTGGTTTCAAACGACTAACATCTACTGCGGAAAAAAAAACAATTGAAATTAAAATAAATTAACCTTAAATAAACGCGGTTTGTCGTTACTGCTAAATGAGTTATTCCTGCTTAGATGGCCACTCGAATTTCGTAAGTGATGCTCTCGAAAGATAATTCATCCGATTTGGTTATGCTTAGGGGGGAGCCCTGGGCGCCGATTCAGACCTTGCACCGCTCCTGGGCGTACTCGAGGGCGTCGGCGAGAATGCGACGCTCGAGCTGGCGGTACTGCACCACCAGCAGATCGATATCCTGTCCCGGCTGCTTCTCTTTGGCCTCCTGCCCCTCCGTCAGCTGCAGTTTCTCCAGTTGCTGCAGCTCGTCGGACTCCTTGTACGTGGCCTCGAGGACGCCGAGCAGCAGCTTGAGCCGCTGGTACAAGTACTGCCACGTGCGCGTCTCGTGATCCGTCTCCAATGCACAGTCGATGTGCAGAAGGTCGACGGCGCGCTCCAAGTCGCTGCACCAGTGCTCCAGCTGGTCGGCGCTCATGTTGAAGACGCGCACGAAGGCCAGCAGCTCGCCGGAGATGTAATCGGGAGCCGGCAGCACCCTGAGCTCCGCCTTGCGCTCGATGTTGAGGCGTGCCAGAATCTTGGCCCGCTGCTCCACCAGGGCATCCGACAGCCCCAGGCCCAGACGGATCTTCACATAGTCCTTCCGGTTGTTCACATCGATGAAGCTGTGCGAAATACAAGAGATGATAATGGGAAGATTTTAGGTGGCGCTCATTGAGACATCCGTCCCGTCCGTACTCACCCATTGTGGACCAGCAGATCGGCATTGGATCGATCGCCATAGTAGATGAAGAACTGCTCGCCGCTCTTGCAGTCCTCCTGGGCCGTGCAGTCCATCTGGTGGACTCCGCTGTCGTAGTAGGAGGTTATCTTCCCGGGCCTGTGGTTGGCCATGTCCCAGTAGGGTATCAAGGCCGAAATGGGCAGCTGGCTGAGGTCGTCACCGTCGTCGTTGGCCTGCAGCTCGCGTGGTACCAGATTCTGGCGCGTCATCACCGTCGACACGGCCCATCTGCAACAAGCGAGAAACGGGAAACGAGAATGGAGATCGGAGGATTGCAAAGCAAAGCAGAAAGAGCGGAAAGAGCGGAAAGAGGCGGGGAAAAATCAAAACTCAAAAGTCAAAAAGCTTTCTGCTTATGCATTTTTTGGTTTTCCACAGTCTGACCACAAAGAAAAGTTTTCCATTTAATTGTGCATAAATTTTCCAATTTAATTATGAAAAGCAGCAACTTGTTTGAAGTGGTTAAAGGGGAGGCCAAGGGCTGGCCAAGAGTTGGCCTCGCCGCCACTCACTTTGTTAGAAATCACCAGGAACAAGCACCAAAACAAAAACCGAAACCAGACAAAAACAACACCAGCAAAAAGCAGTAAGTTAGCTCTTTTCTGTTGGCTGTATTTATTTCCGACTAGTGAAATTACCAAAACTCTTAGAAAGTCCCAAGCAAAAGGGAGGAGGAGTGGATGTAGGAGGATCTCTCAACTTTTTTGCTCTTGCTCTCAACCTTTTCCTTTTCCTTTGTATTGGCTGTTATGTCCCTGTGGCGAGAACTTTCCTCAGTCTGAAAGTGTGCGAATATTTTTAATAAAAGTAATAAGTTATCAGCGAGCAATGCCAGTGTTGGAAAGACTCAAGTGAGTGTGCGGGCTGGGCTGCAGGGTTCTTTGAGTCGACTTTACCTCTACCTCGGCAAAAGTTAATCAGCACTCAAAAGTCCCGCCCTCACCCTCCCACACTGGCTTTCCCCCTGCCCCAGTTAAGCGGATAAATGAACTTGAATGCGCTCCGAAGTCCCTAAGTAGAGGGAACTTTTGGTTTGCTGACTTGTGTGCTTCCCGCCATATCTGGCCGCTTGTGTCTCTCTCACCTATCGATGACAAGCTCATCGCTTTCCCTGACACTTATCGACTGCTGCACCCCCAAAACAGTGCGTTAGGCGGCCATAAAAAACGGCAACTCAAGCGGGGCAACTTTTGAAGCCCAATGACAATGTTGGCAGCTTCCTACTGAGCCAGCGCGCGCGCCTGCCGTTGACAGGCATGAACGATGCCGAGCTGTGTGCACACAATGCCAGCGTGTGTGTCCTGGCTCCCCACAGTCCCAGCATGTAGCATGCAGCATGGCTATGTGCGTACGTAAACGGATGGTGTGCACGGAGTGGCATCAGCCCAAAGATATTGTTTCAATAAACTCTACCGCACTGCATTTTTTGAGCGAATCAAATTGCACACGTTCTCTCTCACATGATTTGGCTTTTTTGCCGTGATTTATCGAAGTTTTCCAAGTGAAACCAAACCGCTCTTCCCATCAGTCCATCTTTTGTTTGACACTCAATCGATTTCGGTTCGGAAATTGATTTCACTTCATTATTCTTCAGTATTAATTGAGTTAAAGTTGTGAAGTTGTGAATCCATTCAATGTGGATGTTTTGGGCAGCAGCCAAAGCTCTTTGCATGCTCCTCCGATTGAAAGGAAATGCAGATGTTTGACTTATTTCAAATGCTGCCTTAAATTTTCGTTTGTTCTGGGGGACAAGTTGAGACTCCTGCGATACAATCGGATTGCCAGCTCATGTCGCTCTCTTTTCTGTCCCCCTTCATTATGCATGCATAGACGGCTGGCTCCTCCCATTCCCAAAAGGGGAAAAACGAAAACAAATACAAAAAAAATTGAAATAAACAAGAGCTGGAAAGGGGGCAGAGACAGAGACACAGATAGAGGCAGAGACAGAGACAGACAGGGAAAGAGAGATGTCACGGCAAATGACGTGAGAGAAATGCGTGTAATGGTCGGGATTCGGCATTCGGAATTCTCTATTCCCCCTCTCCTAGATTCGATTTTCCCCGGACCTATGCAACGACTTTACTAGTTCCTCTTGTCTTTCTGTCGTTCTTCGTTTTCCTTCGTTTCTTGCTCCATTATTTTTGCATTGTGTGGCAACTGAGGGAAAACTTGCAGTTTCCTTACAATTTCTCATCCTACTGTAATGAGTTTTTGTTGCTGTCGCCAAGAAAAGTTTTTCGTCAACAATTTAGTTTCGTTTTCCTGGCACTTCTCTCTGGTATTTTTTTGCCATTGCCTCTTTGGTTAATTATTTCTCCATCAGCCAGAGACAGTCCATCCATCCACCATCCATCCATCCATCCATCCATCCACTATGCACTTTCCAGCCATTCAACCATCAGGCCTGGGTCAAAAGCCTCATTCATGGGCAAATGTTCAATGAAAAACCGCAAGATTCCCTCTTATATTTCGACCCCCATATACCCCTCAAAGCTATGCATAAATCTCCAGTCTGAATTAGTTTGATTATATGCGGATAATGATGATGGGTTAGGCAGTCCGGCAGCTAATCAATTTAATACATATGTACATTATGCACACATACATACATATGTATGTATGTACTAGCATATATTCACAATGTATTATCTGTGCTTGTCATCATAAGTCGCACCCGCACCCACACATAGACATCTTTATCTGCATCTCAGGTGCAGCTCTACTCGTGGTCCTGCTGCCCGCTCCTGCTCCTGCTCCTGCTCTGAACCCAGCCTGATTGAAAACTAATTACCTGAGCATAAAAGAGCCCGAAGTTTCTCTCGGGGCAGGCAGTTCCATGGTTCCATGGTTGGCCAAGTTAATAGAATCCGAATGCAAGAACTCCCCTCCTCCATTGTGCATCGGGTAAATTTTATCAGCAATGGCAAATCGGTAGCCAGGCATGTGGCATTGATATGTGCATTGATATTGATGGCAAAAAGCGAAAATAATTACATAATCCCTTCAGGGCACATAAAGCATTTGCCATTCGCTTTTGAATTAATGTAAAATATCTCAACTGTGACTTGGATTTAATTTGGTTACATTTTCGTCTCTATTGAGGACTTGTCCACTAATATTTATTTTGGCATCGTGAGCACTGCTGGCCGAGCTAAGAGTTTCTCCCATTTTCCGGGCACATAGCTGCTGGGCGTCCGACAGCCTTTTTGAGCAAATAAGGACAACAGGAAGCGAAAAAGGGGAATCAAAATGCGGGCCAAAATGCGCAGATACCATCAATCAATGTGGCCTATCAATCAGTCAGACGATAAACGTATACGTGCGAGTACATACATATACATATAACTAAACATACATAGAAATAATAATAGCAAAAGCAATTTAATAGAATAAAACTCCTGCTCTGGCTCTGGCTCTGTTGGCACTCCTCTCTTACACATTTTTGCTATTTCTTTTCTTTGCTCTCCTGCAGCTGCTGCAAACAGGCGTTTCGCTGATTGTCGAGGATGGCAAGGGCTCAGCTGGGAGCGATGGGATCGGAAATGGGAATGGAAATGGGAATCGTCGTCGCACTGCCCAAGCGGGCATGCGGAAGCGAAAGCGTCGACCCCAATTGCCGATGACCCCCATGGGGGCCACCGAGGAAGACACAGGAGCCGGCTCCGGCTCTGACTCTGGCTCGGGTGCGGACTCCAGTTCGACCTATTGGCGTGGTCATGTCGAGGACGATGCGGAGGCTCTCAGGAGGCGCAAGCAGCCGCTGGTCAGGGAGCCGATGGCTGCCCTGGAACGAGAGCGGGACAAGCAGAGGCAGCGCCAGGAGCCCACCCACAGCAGCCCCCTGGATGCCAGCGTGCAGGCGAGCAGTCCCAGCAAGGCCTACCGCCGGCCATACGGCCAGTCCAAGAAGGAGCAGGAGGCGCCCACTGGGGCCAAGCTGCAGACATCGGTGGACCTGAAGAACATCCTGAAGAACTCTGGCGGCCTGAGCCTCAGTGAGATCCTGCAGCAGAAGAACCTCTCCCTGGACGACCTGCTCAAGGGAAAGCAGAATGCCCTGCTGGCCCTCCAGACCACGGCCATAGCCCCGGCCTCCTCTGCCCAGCCACAGGGGGAGGCCCCGAAGAAGCAGACCCACCAGAACAAGCAGGGAGTCCGCCGCCTGCCGCCTGCTTACCTCAGCAGCACCACCACCACCACAACCAGCAGCAGTAACAGTAACAGCAACGAGAGCGAAGAGGAGGAGTCACTGAGGACCAGGGCCAAGTTTCCGACACTGCAGCGACTGAAGCTCTTTGGCAGCTCTTCGCGGGAGAGCAGCACCACGAGACGCACCTTGCCCACTGTGGGCCCCCACAGCACCGCCACCAGCACAGTGGCACCCAGCAGCACCACTCGCCTGCCGCTGTACAAGAAGAGGCAGCACATGCGCTCCACCCTGAAGCCTCCGGGGCTGTTCAAGTCTGCCAGCAGCAGCATCACCACCACCAGCACGACGGCAGCAACCACCACCACCCAGGAGGTGGACACGAGCACGCCCATCTTCACCAGCACCCTGGCCAACAGCATTGAGGAGATCGAAGAGGATCAGGAACCGGAGCAGGGGCAGGAGCAGGAGCAGGGGCAGGGGCAGGAGGAGCCTGAGCCAGAGCCAGAGCCAGACTCGATCGAAGTGGAGTCTGGGGAATCCGCCCACACGGAGCCACCACCAGCACCTGCCACATCGCCGGCCAGCACGGCCAGCAGCACCAGCAATCCCCGATACCGACTGCGCAACGCCAGCAGCAAGGAGAGCCAGAAGCGGCTCAAGGACAACTTCATCCAGCACCACCAGCACCACCTGTACGACAGCAATGTGGTGGAGAGCATCGAAGACGTGCAGGTGGCTGTGGATGCTGCGGGAGAAGTGGCGCGGAGCAACACCACAGAGGCAGCAGCAGCAGCAGCACCCCAGCCAGCAGCGCAGCCAGGCAATGCCAGCGAGGAGCTCAACTACAACGATGACGATCTGGAGAACTTCTTCGACGAGGTGGAGAGCCACACGCACCACACACGAGTGCCTGCACCACAACTGGAACTGGAACCAGAACAGGAACCAGAACGGGCACCAGAACCATCTCAGGCCCAGACCCCAACCGAGAAGGAGCCGCAGCAAGCCCAAGTGAGCTTGGTGGACGATGTGGATGATCGCACAGATCTGCTGGAACTGATCGAGGATCGGCGCTCGGGCAACCGGCTGTTCAAGGTGCTCGAGCAGCGGAACATGACGCTCGAGGAGCTGATCGAGCACCGGAAGCGCGGCTCCAGCCAGCTGCACCTGTCCACCATCGTGAGCGGGGGCGACGAGCACTCGCGCTTCTACCCCGGCCAGAAGGTGGTGCTGCAGGACAACATGGACATTGTGACGGCCTTCGAGAACTTTCCCCACTTCAACCTGATGGACCTGAAGAGCGTCAAGCCCGACGAGATCAAGACGGACTCGCAGGGCTCCAGCTACTTCACCTCCATCATAGACATCGAGCCGAACGACAGCGAGAAGCCCGGCGGCAACCGAGGTATTACCGCCTTGCGGCTCCGACACCAGCGCCAGCGGTGGCAGCAACGCCAGCAGCACCAGCAGCGCCCGCGGCGGCAGTGAGTTGGTCGGCGCGAGTGTCCCCCCTTTTGTTGTTTGTTTGGAGTGTGCTGAGCTGTGCTGAGCCGCGGCCTCTCAATCTGTCACCCACACACGATCAGTGAGTCAGTCAGTCAGTCAATCAGACAATCAATCAATCAATCGGCGGCAGCAGCAGCAGCAGCGGCTCAGCACACCAGAAGCACACGTAAGTAACGGCTAGGAGTGTCGCGGGGATATTCGAGTGGCGGCTGGCAGCTGACAGCTGGCAAGGGGTGCGCCTCCCACCCGCTCTCACAGGTGTATCGATAACCATCATCGATAATTCCGAAATTGATGATCATCATTTTCTATTGGCAATGGCCAGTGATACGATAATCCTTCTTCATGGAAAGTATCGATTAAATATTGAATATTCATTTAAACAAAAGCCGACTCATTGAATAAATTGATAAATATGATTGCACGATTATCAATCGATAATCGATTAATCGAGTATCGATAGTCGGCAATATACCACACGGATGAATCACAGAATGGATCGATTGATACGGCAGAGGTGGTGTGCCCCACAGCCAGTTGTGGCAATGTCCCCCGACAATCCTAGACACAACCACACGCGACAGCTCGCTGCAACCGCCGCACAAACACACACAAAGACACAGACACATACATACTGCACACACACACACAGATACTCACAATCACAGATACAACACACAGACGCACAATAAGCTTTATCCCTGATCCACTCTGTCTGTCTGCTCTTCCGCCCCCTCCACCATCTCTCCGCTTCTCGCTTTCGTCTATTTGCAGGACCCGCCTACGCACAGACATCATCCGCCTCATCATCATCGTCCTCAGCAGGAGTATCCTTCAACCAGCAGCACCACCCACACCCACACCAGAAGCAGCAACAGCAGCAACAGCCACGCGGAGAGAAGTCGCTCGGGTTCTTCCCATCGTGGAAGACGCTGGCTCTGGCCTCCCTGGCCACGGCGACCGAGGAGCGAAATCCGTACTTTTTGCCACCGCCGCGACTGCTGCTCGATGGGAACGGCAGCGCCCAGGAGGTGGACACGGAGCCGGATGAGCAGGAGCCCAGCAGCATCGACATCGACCTGAGCGTGAGTCCCTACGGCGGAGCAGGAGGCGAAGAACTGAACAGTTCGCAGCTGGCCAACACCAAGCTGGCGCCGAACGACAATGTGATCGATGAGATCGAAGAGGAGGTGGCCCGGGCCCACGATCTTCTCGACTTGGAGCTCTCCGGACCCGGCTTCCATCGCAGTCCGGCGGCAGCGGCGGCCACCTCGGTGTCCCAACAGCACCTGGGCACCCTGTACGCCAGCATGCCGTCCGGCATTCGGTCGGCGATTGTGGCCAGTGCCGCCATCGTGATCACCGCACTGGCCACCTTCCTGGTGATCTTTGTGGTCTGCCGCTGGAAGCAGCATCGCCGGCGCAAGAGCAGCTATCTGAAGACCTACAACGCGATGAAGAGCAAGCTGCCCCAGATGGCCCAGACGGGCGCCTCGGCCTCGCGTCGCTCCTCTATGCGCCAGCAAATGGAGGAACTGGTCATTGGCTCCAGCAGAGGAGAGGCGGCATCGGCATCGGCATCGGGCGGCGGGGCGGCAGGAGGTGGAGCAGGCATGGGCATTGCGAGCATCTCGACGGCCGTCTCCTGCTGCACGCCCGTCCACCAGCTCCAGCGCCAGAGCTCCATGCTCTTCACACGCGACGGATCGGCCACCTTGAGCACTGCCACCTCCCTGACCACGACAGCCGGAGCTGGTGCTGGAGCTGGTGGTGGAGCTGGAGCTGGAGCAGCGGGTACCGCCAGCGGTGCACCGCCACCCACAGCACCGATGTGTGGACGTTCCCAGGGGCACAGTGGCAGCTCCAGCAGCTCGGCATCCGCCTCGCTGGCCCTGTCGCTGCGCAGTGCCCACCAGAAGCTGAATACCATGGACCCCAACTCGCCAGAGGTGCAGGAGTATCTCTTTGACACATTGCGCAAATCGTTCGATAATTAGGCTCTAGGCGGCTGCTCGCTCAAGTATCGATATCGATAGAGCGATAACCGGCGATAGGTTTTGCTGTTTAGGCCAAGCTTTATAAAATTATATATATATACATCCACAGACTCCCCCACAGACACAGACACAGACACAGATATACATATACAAATAGACAGACAGAGAGAGTAAAAGTTAGATGATTAATTAGATTAGTCTAAGAAATGAGAATAAAACATTTTTTTTTTTTGTGGTCAAGTTTCGATTAGAGAAATTTCTTCAAGCGAACGAACATATTCTGTGAGAGAAAGTAAAACTAAACTAAACTAAACTAAACGAAAGGACACACCAACATACATACATATATAGATATACATAGGTACAGTGCGTTTCATAGCTGTGGGACCCAACACTCCCATTCGCAAACTTTAAGCCTAAGCTCCAAGCTCAAATTCTACAAAACCCCAGCCAAGACATCCCCCTGTCAACACTGTCTCATGGCCATGAACGCTACTGTACTTGGCCCGTAGGCTCAGCAAACTATCACTTCGAACTAATCTAGATCAACATACATCGGATACATACACACGATAGTACGTATGCGACGTAATGCAACTCTTTCAAGTTCATTAATCACACATACACACATAGGACACGGCATTCAAATGGGTTTCTAAAGCACCAAGCGAAAAATTAAATCTATTAAATCGAATAGAACTTAGCAAAGAATCTTAGCCAAAACTGAATAAGGTACAGGAACAGGAACAGTTGTGTTCATACGATCCACAGCACAGAGCCCAAATCGAATACTAGATAGGTACATTCGAGAACAAGAAACTACCACTTATGAGGACAATAAATATTAAACGAACAAAAATTTAAAGGAAAAGAAAAGAAACAACTTCTTTGGCACTGACAACAAAAAGAAAAAAAACAAAAAAAAAACCAAATTTTAATACTCGAATAAAAGAGGGAATTTCGTATTAGATTGGGGCAAATAAAGATGGGTGTGGTCACAAGCACAACAAAGCAACAACAACAGCAACAAAGCAACAACAACGACACCAACTAAATCAACACTAATAGCATAAATGTTCAATGCACTGCAAGAACAATAAGAGAATAGATTTATTTTTTAACTGCAGGCACTTTTCTTGATTTTCCTTTAACCAGTCTCAACTAGGATCCCATTTTCCATGCCCCAGTCCCAGTCCCAGCCCCTCCACCCCCTTATACACTAGAACGTCTGGCGACCGTACGAGTATATGCATAGATATACCGATATATTTAAATAAATAAAAATATATATATATATATATGTATGTTTAAGCACGCTCAAATATGTATGTAAATAAGTTTCAATTTGATTTTTTTGAGAAATAAAATGTAGAACTAATTGCGGCAAAGATTTCCAAATATTTCAAGAACACCCAAACCCAAACCCAACCACACCGCGCGATGGTTCGTTCCGTGCAGGCGGACTCCGCTTTAAAGTGGTCCAAGAGCGGATGCGATTAACCCCATTGTAGAAGCGAAAGGGAGACCAGGCACGAAAACGAAGAAGATCCATGGGAAAAAAGGGGGCAATGCATACAGATAAAGGCATTCATAGTTCAGACAGGTTCAAGAACGGATGAGCCATCTGGTGGTATTCTAGAGCAGACAAAACCAGATGGCTGTAGAGCTCTCCGCCGGACTGGGAGGCACTCAATTAATCCCAAGACCAACACAACTTGGATTGTATTAGAAAGAGCAAACAATTTTCCGCACAAGCTGATTTTTGTTTAGCACTTAAAATGATATAGTGTTCCGTGTAAACTCCGCGCAGCTCAGAGAATTTTCAGCTAAATAGCTTTACAAATGAGCGGGACCTTTGTAGCCAGTACTCAGTGAGTACATTTGTAATCGCATGACTTATGCAACCTATACAATATTTGTTGTGTGTGTCGGAACCCAAGACTGCCGCGTGCTCTCTTCCTCTCAGTCGTTTGGTATCGCTGTTCGCAAAAGGGACGAATGCTCAATGCGGAGACGGGGTACTTTTTGGTAGGATAGCCAACGCAGACCCTGATCTGAAGGATCAAGGATATGCATACATATTCATATGCCTACAACCTAAGGGTCGGAGATGCGACACAAAAAGCTGCCCAATTGTTGACTCTTCAGGGATATCAGTTGCAGTAAATTTGTCATAGACACAGACGGATGACTCGGATGACTGGGAACACATTCACTTCCGTGAGTTCTGTTCGCGCTTTAAACCACCTGTGGAAAGTGGAAATTCCCTCTGCACAAGTTAGCATAGTTAGCACTGCAGGCTAACATTGCTCTGCTAAATCGGCAATTCTGCTAGCAGCGTGCTGCTATGGGTACACACAATGTTAAGTTAACATTCGTAGCTGAGTCGAGTGTTTTTAGGCGCAATTGGCGAACTGTTAAGGAGCCACAAATTGATTATTGCAGGAAATATCGGAGAGGGATGGGAGGCGATTACGTCGGATTGGGATCACTTACCGGTAGAGCTCGTAGCAGAGGCCGTGCTGGGTGAAGAGCACGCCCATGGAAGAGGCGCTACTGGCGTCGGGCCGGATGTGGGCGCACTTGTACATGTTGGCATACTGGCGGGCAATGACGCGGCACTGGCGCAGCGCCGAGGTGCAGGCAGCGGTGCCGCGCAGCCGCTGCATTTGCTCGATGGAGAAGTAGAGGACGGTGTTGTAGCGGGCCGGCAGAACGTCGATGTAGGGACGCCAGACACTGTCGGGGCCGCGCACCTTCTCGATGACCAGGGCGTACGCCAGGTTGAAGTTTGTCAGCAGCGGAAAGTTGCAGAAGAGCTTGCGGTCGGTCTCGGGCAAGTGCTCCTCGGAGAAGATCAGCGTTCGGGGCACGCTCAAAACTGGCTGCTCGGCGGTGATGTCCTGGGTGGCGCGCAGGCCCAGCTGATAGCCAGGAAAGATGGCTATCTCCAGGCAGTCGCTCTTCACGCCGCCCGCCTTGGCCCACTCGCTGAATGCGGTAACCTTGGCCAGGCGCGTCTGGTCGTCGGTGGCATCCAGGCAGACGGCCCGCTGCAACGGCTCCTCCAGCACCATGATTCGCTGTAGCTGCAGCTGCAGCTCCACATACTGCTTCCACTCTTCGTTGGGATTGGCCGGCTGCATGGCCACCAGCTCCAGGAGGCGCACTACCAGCGCGTTCAGCTCGCCCCGCTGACCACTCAGGCTGGGGAAGCGCTTTCCATCGATGTTGTTCTTGTCCTGCAGGCCTTGACTGCCACTTGGTTGATTCCCCTCTGCGGAGCCCGAAGCCGCGGTCATCACGGCACCTGATCCGGAGGCTGCCTCCGACTGTGTCTGCGTTGGCGTCTGGGCCAGTGACTGTGACTGCTGCTGTTGCTGTTGCTGCTGCTTGTTCTTGCGCTTATTCTTGCCCATTTCGGCGGCTTGTGCGGCGTTGTTTATGCGGCGTTAGGCGTGTAGAGTGCGGAGTGCGGAGGGGACGGCGTCCCAAAACAACAGCCAAATATGGAAAATACTAGTTGGCACGTGCGTGCAGTGTGACCGCGTACTTAACGATAAAATATACCGTCTGACCCTCAGAAATATACCGAAGTATTTTCATAATATACCCTAAATATACAAATTTGCTACATATCAACGAATACTACATACATACATATGTGAAGTATGGCACTTACTTTGTATACCCACAGGATTTGCCGTTCCGAAAATGTCCAGTTATTTCACCATTCATCCGGTATTTTTCTAGTCCGCACATTTCTACGTGGCCTTAAGATGCATTTTTAGCCATTAAAAAAAACAACACACGCAGGTTGAAGTAGAGTGCGAAGATGGAAAATCAGTTGGTATGATAATATTGCGGATTTGCGAGGGTCCCGAAGGAATTCCATTGAGCTCGCCCAGGCTTCCAACTGAAACTATAGCATTCATTCTGCAGCCAAATCGCCCGCCGGAGCGGATCTCTTTTAGAGATTGCTCGGAAAAGGCTAGCAGTCCAGAAATGTTCAAAAATTCCACAAAACTAAATTAGTTTTTCTGCATGCCAACTACACACAAGGAAGACATTTTTAAAAATTAAAAACATATAAGATCATTTATCAATTTCTATCATTCTATATGTATTTATTTCAGATAAAAAACTTAGCTAAGTCCAATGCCATACGACTTTTGTGTAAATAGAATTCTTCCGTTTCTTCCGTTTGAAAGCTCATTTTGTGCGTATTTTGCAACACTGCGAAGAGGTAAGATAACAGAGAGGATGGAAAGCGATAGAGATATCGAAAAGAAAGAGAGGGATGATTCGCTGTGCTCTTCGGATGCATGCAGACTATGTACATACATAATTTAGATATATTTCCTATTTTACAATACATAAATAAGTCGCAAATACATACATGTATAAGTTCTGACCAAATATAATACAATAGAAAATAGATAAATATTTCATATATTTTTGTCTATTTATTGCATTATGTATGTACATAAGTATAGGTATAGGCTGACAATATAATAGTTAAGTTAATATATTTATTATATTTTCCTTGGTATGGCTATTAATTTGTTGTCTGTGTCTTTGGTGTGCTCTGATCCTTTACACAACAGAAATCTCCTCGAATTCAACTCTAATTTTCATCGAAAAATGTCTATTAAAATTATAACTCTCAAACAAAAAATTATAACAATGTGCATAAATGTGTACATTTGTGTGCATAGAGTGTGTAGAAGATTTAGATTTACCATAGATAATCGCTAAACATTTGACTGAAAATAAACGTAGAATAACTGATAGCTGAAATAAACCATTAAGAGAGTGAAAGAAGAAGCGGATTTTGTCGCTTAAATCAAATCTGGTAGATCATCGGGCGGGCAAATGTTGGCAATGTCCACAACGCCGCGGAGGGGCACCGGCTCCGTCTGTCCAGTCTGCAGCGTGGTAGCAGTGGGTAAGGCCCTGCACAGGGGGCACAAAGAGAATCACAAAGGGGATCAGAGAGGCTTAGCTAGGCGCCAGAGCAGATGCAGTCATGCCTTACCCCTTGGCCGGACCACGCTTGATGGTCAGCATTTCGTTGACCTTCAGCTTCTTCAGTAGAATCGTCAAGTGGCCCGTGGTCTGAGATCGCTGGACTGTGGATTCACCTGGCTGCACCTCCTCGTTGTAGGCAATCTGAAAGATCTTGCCCTTGACGGTGACGCGCGTGTAATTGGTCTGGACATCCACATCGATCAGGGCCGTGTCCAGGTGTCTGTGGACGGACAAGAGGGAACATGGAGTGAGGATGAGGAGCACATCGGAGGAGCTGCAACTGCCCACCTGTAGACCTGCAGCTGGAGCGAGTAGTGAGTCGCCTCATCCTGAAAGTTGAAGGGCAGCTTGGCCTGGTTCAGGTTGTACGGACGTCCGCAGGGGGCGAAGAGATGCGGCTGCCGTTTGGCTTGTGGAAGCGACGACTGCGGCTCGTGCTTCTCCCTGCCCAGCCGGTGCTGCCGGGCGATCTCTGTGCGTATCTCCGGACAGTGCTCGCTCTTGGCGTTCCAGAAGGTGCGCGTGCGCTCTTCCTCGTCCTCAATGTCGGCGCATTGCTCGGCCAGCGCCGCCTGCTGCTCGGCCACGCGAACTCGCTGCTCATCCCGCTCGATGGCCTGGTCCGCCTGGCACTGGACGATGACGGCGCGATGCTGGGGTAGCTGCCGCTGGGCGTGGAGCCTCTCCGAGTGCGTGATCTCCTGGCAGTCGAGGCTCTGCAGCTGCGGCAGGGTGGCCACCACATAGTCGCGGTAGTGCGGATAGTCCGCGCAAGGATTGCCGATCAGCAGGAGCTCTCGCAGATTGTAGTTGCCGCGCAGCGACTCCACGCTGGTCAGCTCACCGATGAAGTTGAGCGTGAGATCCAGTTTGTTGAGCGACTCGAGCCCCTCCAGCTGCTCGACGCGCTCGATGTTGTTCACGGCCACGTTCAGGTACTCCAGTCGCTTCAGCTTGTGCAGGTTCTCCAGGCGCGCAATGAGGTTCGACTGCAGGAGCAGGATCTTGAGTTCCTTGCACCAGTTCTGCACATGCTCAATGCGCTCGATGTCCTCCTGGTGCAGCGATATCTCCTCCAGGGTGCTGATCAGCCGCTCATTGTGCTCCGACTTCTTCCGCACCAACTCCTCCGTGACTGTGAGAATATCGTTAATCAGTTGTGGCCCCGGGTCCGGGCCATTTTGGTCTACTTACTGCGCACCATTTTCGATTTGTGTGATGTGTGATAGAACACAGCAAAACGTCCAAACAGCCGGGCCAAAAGCCAACTCCGTTTCCGTTGCCAGGCAACTTCCCAACTCCCGTTTGAGCTCGTTGATATTCTCCGTCCCTTTCTATTTCAGGTATCACTTCCAAGGCAACTCTGCCAACTATCGAGTGCCCGAAATAATCGGAATGTATCCGATTCAGCTTGGACAGGACTTGGGTGTATTATCTTCCATCTCTCTCTCGATGAAGCTCGTTGTCATGGCACACCAGCAGCGATACTGTACCATCAGCTACCTAGTTTCTAAGTTCATACTTACTCATATAAATTGTAATGTAATATAATGATTTATGTAACTTATACAATACATTTCTGCGCCTGGCTGATCCTCTTTCCACCGAATAGGGGTTTCGTTCATTTTCGTTTCGTTTCGTTTCTCAATACAATATACATACATATAACGGGAATTACGTTAATTTGTATTTAATAAATGCAAAAGAAAATGATTAGTGCACTTCGTCTATCCTCTTTCCGCCTATTCGACCTGTTCACACATATTCGACCTGTTCCGTTACATCTCTCTCTTTATTCCTCTCTCTTTCCACAAAGGGGCACCGCTAGAATACGTTAGGCCGTTTAGGGTATTTATGCTCAGATTATAATTCCCATTAACACATTGTATAAACTACTAACATAGTATTAATACAAGCATTCAAGTGCATTCTTAGCTCTTTAAGTTCAGTTTAGACTCTATTTAGAGCTAACATTAACATGGTGCAGTCACTGCATATTAATTTCCTAAGGGTTTTTGTTGGAATTAATACGAAAACTATTTCAAGTCAGTGTAAATATCAGCTGACGTAATGAAAGAAAAAGAAGTGAACGGCACAACCGGTCAACGTACATGCATATGTACATCTCCTCTTCACCCTACCACGCGTACACACACACACAGACCTCTGCTGTGTCTTTTGCATGGAATTACGAAGAAGGGCCTACCGATTGCGTCAGCCGATATTTACACTGACTTAGAATAGTTTGTCCGGAAAAGCATGTACTAAAATTCAGAATATCTTTTTAACTTGTTAACTTTCTCACCATCCTCTTTGGTACGCATGATCAGCACGCTTCAGAAGAATATGGCCCAGATGAGGAGGCGCTCGACTCAGCAACGCTACTTGAAAAAATGATTATACAGTCAAGGACCTTGTCGTGGAACAAAGAGGGCGACATGGATGATCGGGTCCAGGTTGCCGAGGATCCGATACCAAATTTGATACGCGAGACCGGAATCGAGGTTGAGGCAAATAAATCAGCCAGCTGTGAATGCAGTTTTATTTGGAAAAAACAATCAAATTTGCATTTGCTTTGGTGTTTGTGAAGGTCTTAAATCCCAAAGCGAAGAAAATTGCTAGCATTAATTGAGAATTTTTTTGTTATAAATCATAAATATAGAAGATATTATCATAAAAGATACATATTTGTTTCAGTTGGTTTGATTGGGCCTTTTCATGTCGCTGTAAATTTTTGGGCTCGTTCTGCTGCATTCTACCAAGATAAATCAGTGCGAAATCAATTTTTACTCACTCTAGTTGGCATTCCGGCCACTTTGATCCACAAAACCGAATATAATTAATGTAAGCATCATGAAAGTCGTCCCCGGAATGTACTCAACTTCTTCCATTGCAACACAATTAAAATGTATGAAGGGTTCGATAGAAAACTTCTAGACGAGTGGATAAAAAATAAGTATCTGAAATGAATATATTAAGCTCTGCCTCTGTCCAAATTAGATCATTAAGATCTTTTCTTATCCGACTTTTCCATGGGAGAATTTTATGGTTTTTGTTTTGTCTTTATTTAAGATATATTTATAACATTTTCGGTGAACAATATGTGTATATTTCGGTGTAATTATGCTTTAGATAAATTTATATTAATAAATTAATTAATTAGCAAGAGGGACTATTATGCTATTAACGTATTTTATTTTATTTATTTTATTTAAGAGTAATTTACATACATCAACGACCTTCTCTGCTCCTTATCCAGGCGTCTTTCGGTGTCGTTCCTTCATTGGGTTTATCTATAACATTGACGATTAACAATATTTAATTTAATTTAATTTGGTGTACATATTCCATTGTATCTAAGCATTTTCATTCATTCATCGATGAACCTTTCACATCTCACTACGATCCTCTCTTCCTCTCACCTCTTCCGGCGTGGCCGTGGCCTAATCAATATTAACGAGAAAGATAACCCCGCACTGAGGGAATCTGATCAAATCTTAAATCAAAAATAATACTTAGAAATTCAATACGAACGAGTGTGAATATATTGCTATGTATATTAACGAGTTGGAATATATATAATTGAATAATCTTTCGCTCCACTAACAGGCCATTATCAGGTCACGGGTCTCACATATCTGTCGATTTGATTGTGCTCTGGTTGGGGCACAGGACGCGGGAAACTCTTTGGACTGGACTGGGGACCGAACAGACAACGCCCATCCAAGCTCGGATATGGGCTCATAGAATATGGTTTTTTATATGTATATATATGTTTGTAGTTAGCGGTGTATATGTTCGAGTATTTGGAGTCAGCATTCCATCCTTGCACTCACTGCACTTAGAAGCTAATAATTGAGACAGCAAGAGAGCACAGAGGTCAGGGCCTATTGCCGGGCCACCATATCCAGGCCGCCCTCCTCCTCCATCTTGGACAGGAACTTGATGGACCGCTGCGACTGCTCCGTCTGTCGGGCCATGTCGATCAGGCCCAGCAGCTTCTTGATCCCAATGAATACGCTGAAAAGCAGATGAAAACCGTAATCTCTGATGCATCCTGAGTGCAGATTGGGGCTGGGTTTTGCTGCTTACCGTTTGCCGGCCATCTTCTTGCCAATGGCCTGGACTTCGCCCTTGTTGAAGAGGTCCGTGTGCTCGAGAACGGCACACACGTGCTCGGGGCTAGAGAGGTTCGGCACATGCAGCACCGAGGTGAAGGCCGTCAGCATTTCCATCTCCTCCAGCACCTCGCTGAGGATTGCGAGTGCGAGTTAATAAATTGGATAAGTACGAAAAGGAATGGTGGGGGGAGGAACTTACCGCCTGCTGGAGGTGCACAAGATGAGCAGCTTGCGGCCCTTGGGCGGCTGCTTCTTGAGCAGCACGAGAAGGGCCTGGAGTGTCATATTGGAGTAGCGCGGCCCAATCGAGCCGTAGTCGAGCAGCCGCTCCACGTTGTCCACCACAATGCAGCTGAGTGTGGAGCGGTAGGCGTCGTCGAAGACCTTGCGGATGTGCAGGCACTTGGCCGACTCGGTGTAGCCGACCATGTCCTCCGGGGAGCAGACCTTCACGAACGGGAAGTCCGACATCTTGGCCAGCTGGGCGGCCAGCGCAGTTTTGCCCGAGTTGGGGGCCCCGGATATCAGCACAGAAACCAGGCCGCTGGACTCGGGCGCCTCGGCCTGGTGCACGTACAGCATACCGTCCTCGAGCAAATTGCTGACGGGAGTGCCCCAGTTGATGACGCCCCGGGCCAGCATGTTCTCGAGTATTTCCTGGGCCGTGCCGAAGGCGGGCTTGATGTCGTTCTCCAGCGAGTGGAGGAAGTCGTCCCGGTTCACCTTGATCTTCTCTATGGCCTCGGGATCGACGGTGACCTTGGCGTCGGCCTTGATCAGGCGATTCATGGCACTGGACTGGGCCGCACGCACCAGACCCTCCAGCTCGGCGCCGCTGAAGTTCTTGGTGAGGGAGGCGATCTCCTTGCAGTCGACGTCCTCGTTGATCTTGTTGAAGTCGCGCATTCGCTTGGTGTGGATGTTGAGGATCTGCACGCGTCCCTGCTCGTTGGGCAGACTGATTTCCATCTGGACCTCGAGACGGCCCGGCCGGAGCAGGGCCTCGTCGATCATGTCCCTGCGATTGGTCATCCCGATGACGAGGATGTTGTTCAGCTGGTCCACGCCATCGATCTTGGTGAGCAGCTGATTGACGACGGTGTCGTGCACTCCACTGTTGCCCGCCACAGATCCGCGCTGCTTGCAGATGGCATCGATCTCGTCGAAGATGATGATGTGCAGGCCGCTGTTGGGCCCCAGCCGCTTCTCCTCCTCCTCGGCATCGGCGAACAGCCGCCGCACATTGGCCTCCGACTCGCCCACGTACTTGTCCAGGATCTGCGGCCCGTTCACGATCTTCGGCTCGCGGGCGTTCAGCATTGTGCCGATCTGGCGGGCCATCAGGGTCTTGCCGGTGCCCGGGGGCCCGTACAGGAGGATGCCCTTAACGTGCTTGCAGCCCAGCTGCTCGACCAGCTCCGGGGGGAAGACTCGCGAGGCGAACGCCCGCCGGAAGATCGAGTTGAACTCCTTGTCCAGGCCGCCGATGCCCATCTTGCCAAAGTCCCAGTCCGGATTGATGATCGACTGGCGCACCACCTTGCCCTTGGACTTACCCTGCAGGTTCAGCGAGCTGTTCTCCGCCTTCTCGAACTGCACCACCGTGTTGCCCAGGATGCGGCCGAAGCGGACGTTGCGCATGGACGCCTCCTTGCCCTCGCCCAGGGTCTTCGGGTCGATGGCCTCCAGCGACTTGACGGCCAGGCCCAGCAGCTTCTTCTCCTTGAAGTTGAACACCAGGGACTGGCCCACGGTGAGGGCCATGCCGGCGAACTGCATAATGAACTCCTTGGCCATCTGGTCCGAGTCGTAGGGCTCCTGGGACACCCTGAAAGATCAATGAACCGAACTCGAATTCGACTCTTCCCAACCATGGCGGTCTAGGTCTACTCACGTCTTCTTCTGCAGAAAGTCCGTCTCGAAGGACACACACGTGATGACATCGGAGCTGGCGTCGAAGCGATAGGGCCGCACCTCCAGCTCCTGGTTGATGGACACCATCGCCCACTTGCGCTGCACCAGGGAGAAGCCCACATAGCCGCGGGGCACCTCCACCGTCTTCTCCAGGGCAAAGATGAAGTGCTGCCCGGGTGCCGGCGAGATGTCCGCGTACCTTTTTGTTTTGTTTTTTTTGGGGATTATTAATCACAGTTTCAAATACTAAATATGCGCATCGATTTTTGTGCACTTACTTCACATCG